TAATGCAATACATAGATTTATGATGCAACAAGTTCATGAGAGCGATGAAACTGGTTCGTGAACTTGTTTCGTGGCCAACCACGTTTCAGGAACGTGTTTAAAATGTTTCAAATAAAACAGGTCCATTAAGACCAAACGAAAGTGTTTCACTTGTGTAACATCAAACTTATATCACATAGTACTAATTAAACTTCTACGGTATGCTTTTTCTTTTACAAATCCGATTCTTAAAATAGGCATATTCTAAGTGTTACAATGAAACCTTTTTAATTACTTTGTTTGGTTTGCTTATTGAAAGTGTATTTCAAACTAATATGTTCACATCAACCGGTATGAAGAGATTCATCACAAAATATTAAGACCGGACACAATTCCAACTATAATTGTTGCTAGGTAAGATAAAACAAATGAACCAAAGTCAGGGGAACTTCCCAAATCAACCTAATACGATTCGAATACATAAAACGTTAATTCGTACTATAGCCCTTCATCGGACAATTGCGGGAATCATGCCACCCCATTTTATCACAAGTTCTGCACAATCTTTTCGGTTTCTATGCATTCATGGATACCCTCTCTGACATACCAACAAGACGTTTTCGGGTTCCACAGCCTTTATTACGTACACCTGTTGGTGGTAGAACGTCTACCGATTCAGGTTCTGTAACACATAATAGCTCTTGAATATCATTTCTTTTCTGCTCTGTACTTGTCAAAATTGGAACATCCACCAAAATTTCATCACCCAAACGTTCCAATTGCTCCACAAACTCTGTCAACGCTCCTTTGTCATTACGTACACGTCCAATAATAAGATCAAACATTGATATAGCCTGGTTGATCAAAGCTTGTTTCTCAACATCCATTTCACCGTACCTAACCCGAGCCGGCATCAACTCATTAGGAACTAACTCTCGTCTCCAACGCGGCAATATGTATTTCTCGGGAATAGATTGCACCTCAGAATTTAACATTACCTTAAATGCATGGCGACATAATATACCATTGCGAACAAAATGGTTGCAACTACAGTCAAAAGACTCATCCCTTACATCATGAACCACCTAGAGTATCATAAATAAAGGAAGATAAATTAGGGAAAATTTACAGGAAATGCGCTTCTAATCAATTAATGTGAATATGAAATGAAAGAATTGATCAACACCTTGTACGTAGCTTTAACCTCAGAATTCTTGTTCTTATGTGTAATACTGTATATCATCTTATCACCGACCTCTACTACTTCCACAACCCCGCAAAACCATACTGTCTTGTTCATTTCCTTTTGCACGTCAAAAAATATTGTTTTTGTGTAAACTTTCGCTGCTTGTGCTTCAATTTTGGATGGTGACAACAATTTTGGTATCGTAGTTCTAGTCGCAACCTCAAGGGAACAGTGTTATTTTCTTTGACTTTCGATTGCATCGTCGAAAGTGTTAAGAAAATAAACAAGATCATTCCAATACTTCGTATAAACATTAAAAAATGAATTAATACTTTCGGACCTGGAAGTGGTTCTCATAAGACCAGACATTGGATAGTCTTTGAAATAGGCTGGAATCCAAGATTCTCTTATTGCATACATTTCTTCAAACCACGAGTGCCCTCGTAGGCCATACTCATCCATCAACGCATTCCATTTATCCTCAAAACTTTCAYGACTTATGTGTACATTCCATACGAGTTTGTTGAACTTGCTTTTGAACGGGGTTCCATGGGCTAAATGATCATGGATCTTGACAATGAAACAAAGACACAATCAAAAAATAATCAAAGCCTTTTTTTCATATGACCAATTCCAAACCAAACTTTGCGGATGGAAAGCATAGTAACCAAACTTATACATGCATAAGTTAGAATTCATCTGAATAGTTGAAAATAGACATACCTTTTCCTTCACTTTTTTGGTTATGTGCCACATACACAATCGATGAGTAGATTTTGAAAAAACTATAGGTATCGCTTGTTTCATTGTTGCACATTGATCGGTTATTACAAACTGTGGCTGAGTACCATGCGCTTTCATAAACGCATTCAATACCCATGTGAAATTAACGACAGATTCATTTCTAATCAATGATGCACCGACGACAACAGACTTCTTGTGATTGTCAATTGCAACAAATGGAACAAAAATCATTGCATGTCTGTTACGATTGAAAAGCATGATAGTAATGCATGATTTGCTCTAAAAAATTTGATAACAAATATTTAAAATAACTTACTTGTTTGTCCGAAATGTAGCGTCGAATGATATGGTGTCTCCAAAATGTTTGTAATTCATTCTCGCTGTTTTATCTGCCCARAATATTGCAATCAACTCCTTCTCATCACACTTATATTCAAAAAAATATTCAGRGCAATGTTCCCGYCGTTTGCTCATCTTGTTTATTAACATTTGTGCATCTTTGTTACCAACGAAGAGCATAATGTCTCTTCTAAAGTTCATATGATCCCTAGCTGTCMCACCAGATGCTACTAAACCYCCGTTCATTGCCAATTGCATTCTGCRCGACYGAGTGATWCCWACTTTAGAGCTGGATGCGTGATAAACATTCCTGCGATCCTTGTAATCAAGTTGGCGTCTTGAACGGGTGAACATCTTCTCATCCGAACAACAAAGCATATGATTATGACCCTCTATGAAATGATAGACCTCGTATCGGCCACTCTCTTTCACATAGTGTACTTTAAGGCAAGCTTTACAACCGGTACGTTTGAGATTTGTATTACGCCTTTTCCTCTCTCCTGATGAAACTTCTAACGAATCAAATTCCTTTTTCGGTGGATTACCCTCCCTACTACAAACAAAATAACGGGTTTGCACTCCACCCAACGAGTTCAATTTTTTGCTTCCCAACCGGATATCAAACCCAGCAACATCGTCGTATTTCCTATACATATTTTCTACGGACTCAACCGATGAAAAGAAGTCACCAACCTTTGRACATATATTGYTATCAACTTTAGGGACCCATATCTTCGTGCCCCCTGGTGATTCCCCCATTTCTTGTGATAATGCATCTAACAAGTACAAATAGATAATACAAGATAGTTACACTTATGAATCTTAACATGATTAATATGTTTCATTACCTCCTATTAGTTATCCGCAACATGCTCAAGTTTTTGAAATTCGTTTATGAAACTATTCATTACAATATTTGCATTACTAAATAGAGATATTATATTATGTCTACTATTCAACTGTTTATAAATTATATTATGAAACTGTTACATCAGTATTTCATATTCTTATTACAATCATATTGTACATTAGTAATGAAACTGCTTCATGCTAAAATGTTTTGAATGTAGATGGTGTATTTTGTATTTTAATGAAACAGTTTCACTATAGAAATGTCTAATTATGCAATTGATCGTTTCCTTATTTCAGGCTTTTTTGTACATTTTAATGCAATTGTTTCATGACACTTTATGCATACTACATGTTATTCGTAAATTGAATGTTCACATCATTGTTTAAATGTGACAAAGTTTCATTATAAAACACATGTAACATTGCTCCTTACTAAGTTCTATAGATTTACTCAACAATATAAAATAACCTCGCAGATTAGTCTCATTTGAACGAAATCATTAACAAACGGTGTCCATTACTTTGCTAAAAACTATAACCATATTCTCAAATCCTACTAACTTATTTATACAAATACTCCAACAACGAAACACATTCAAGGCAACAAAGACAGACGAACTTTATACAAACATTCATAATATGGAAAGTACATCAACTCAAAATTTATAATACAAAAGACATACCATAGCACCCATCTTCATTCGCAACAGCATCACTGTATTTGTCATGAATTTCGTTCGAGCTAATACCTTCTCGTTGATCACTCATTGTCGTAGAGTAACGTATTTCTCTGTGGCTTAATCGATATGATTATATATACCATCATTCCTTTTAAATGAAATTAATTCATAGTATTTTGTAATCACGGAAACCATATCATGTAAATCATATTATTAATGAAACTGATTTACCTTGTAAAGTAATGTACTATTTTAATGTTAACATATTTTAAAATAACACCCATCAATAAGTTATATCAAAATCATACATAAAACACAACATATTCAATACTGTTTAATGAATCATTTCAATAAAAAGTAAAATAAAATAATGACATTATATGAATGAAATGGTTTCATAAATTAATTGACAATCAAACGAAATTATTACCAATCATATTTCTTATTTTTTAATTTACTTGTACACGGATTCGTTACATTTAGATAATGAAATATTTTCATCGTATACTGATCTTATTAATTTTTTTGATTACACAATAACTAGTTTGATTGGCCTCATTTGATAATGAACTATATTCATTTTTCGAAAATTCAACATGAAATTATTTTACAATAAGTGCAATTTCATATGAAACGGTTTCATATGTATGAACTTGCTTCAATAACCTTGTACCTGTAATTTCACTTACAATTCGATTCATTCGATCAACTAATCCCCACAATCTTCAAGATTCATGGGCAGATTACAAACTTCTCACAATCTTTTAAATAATCATAACGAATCCGTCTCACCTACTTTTACCTTCATAAATAACAAAMTACATTATGCACTTTTTTTACATTGAAAATGAAAATGTTTCACCAACATGAACCTTGTTTATTACCCATTTTATAATGTAACATTTTCACATTGACACATTTTCATGCACATTAATTTCATGTACAATAACATATACTATGCACGTGTTTCATGCTACGTTTTCATGACCATTGTAACAACTGAACGGATCAACTTCAAATACAATCCAACATGGATCCCAATGAAAGTAGTGCATTAATCTCGAATTATTTAGAAAATGAAAATGTTTCATTATCATGAAACTATTTCATTAACTATTTTGTAATGAAACCTTTTCACCTTCAAATTTTTACATGTAGATTAATTTCATAACGAACAAAATCCATTATGCATTACTTCATTAGCTATGAATCTATTTCATTAACTTTTTTTTAACTATTTTACATGCATCTATTTCATTACCTATTTTACATGAAACTATTTCATTAACTATTTTATTAACTATTTTACATGAATCTATTTCATTAACTATGCACCCGTTTCATGATACGTATATTTCGTGACGAACATAATCCATTACGCACCCGTTTCATGTTCATTCTACCAACTAAAACTGATGAACTTTGATTACAATTCAATATTGATCACCATGAAACTGGTTCATGGATCACGAATCGTTTATAAAATGAAAATGTTTTACCATCATGAACCTATTTCATTAACTACTTTGCAATGAAACCTTTTAACATTGAAATCTTTACATGCAGCTTAATTTCAAATATAATAAAATATATTATGTACCCGTTTCATGATACGTATATTTCATAACGAACAAAATCCATTACGCACCCGTTTCATTTTCATTCTACCAACTAAACTGATGAAGTTTGATTACAATTCAACATTGATCACCACGAAACTCACGAATTATTTATAAAATGAAAATGTTTTACCATCATGAACCTATTTCATTTATATATACCATATGCGTTGAAGAAGAAAATAAATCATTTTACAATGAAACTTTTTCATATTAATACAGTTTCATGAACATTGATTTTTTTTTCTCTCCAACCTCATCACACGATTTCATTCCTACATTTGATATAATCTTCATTCAAGATATCCAGATTCTTTGCATACCAAATAATTAAAAATAAAGATTTTAATAATATATTATAATAAAAGTATGAAACGTTACCATTTTCATACTTTCTTCTATTAGATTGCCTGAAATAAAATGTATTAATAACTTTCTTAATTATCAAAAAATTGTGTAAAATGACATAAATACCCTTATCAATAAAATTTAATTAAAAAAATAGAATTTTCTTATTGGTCGAAATTGGTTTACATGGTTTTTTAGAATTGGATGGTTCGTATTTGAACCTGCCCCTATATATATATGTATAGAGAGAGAGAGAGAGAGATGAACGATCAAATGAAAACCACCTTCATTTGTGTAAACTATGTAAACCAATCTCATCTATCCATTTTCTTGATCAATGGTCAAGATTAGTTTAGGTTATATTAGAAAATTAAAATAAATAAATAAATAAAAATTTATTTTATAATCCCTATAAGGGCAAAATGGTAACTTTGGTATGGTTTTATTAATGGCAACCATATCATGTTATATCATTAAAATAGATTCAAAATATAAATAAAACACACCGTAATCAATTCTACATATTGAATCCTTTTGAATAGAAATTAAAAAAAAATTGTATTACATTACATGAACGAAATGGTTTCACAGTTTCATCAATACACTAATCAACGTAATCCTGATCAGATTTTGTCATTTTCATGTTATTGGTAGATGGATCCGTTTCATTTTGATAATGATATTGTTTCATTGTTCACTAATTACACAAAATTTTCTTAGAAACCATGAAATAATTTCACTTTCTTCAATCACTCACTTCATCGGTCAGCATGGTTTGATGAGTCATTTGTCATTTCAAGCTATTGATAATGAAATTGTTTCACTTTTCGCTAATTACACAGGCTTTTCTTATCTTTTTTGAAATGGTTTCACTTCCTTCATGCACCCATATCATCATGTACTCATTTCATGATGCACCCATTTCATCATGCACCCATTTCATCATGCACCCATTTCCTAATTATTTTCACTTATTCCATGCATCAATTCACCATGTATGAAGCCGGTTTCATATTTTTTTTATTCTATTACTGATTTTCTTGGATTTATTAATCTAATAACTTACGATTTTCATGAATCTTGGCAGTAATAAACCGAGACACAATATAAGAGAATCCAATTTTTAATATTATAATTTAATTAAATATTTAAATGTTATCATTTATAAAATTTCCTTTATTATGTTACCTTAATTAAGATTTATTAATAACTTTCATATTTAATAGAAAACAATGCAAATGACCAATATACCCTTAATGATTAAATTTAATTAAAAAATAGAATTTTTCTATTGGTCGAAATTAGTTTACACGGTTTCTAAGAATTGCAGGGTTTTCATTTGAACGTGCCTTTATAATATATATATATATATATATATATATATATATATATATATATATATGCATGGAAGCCATTCTTTACAGTTTGGCTATGGTTACCATCTTGTTTCATGACTAGAACCATATACGGTCTTTTATCTCGCAGCAAAAAGTTGTACATGCTTTGGCACCATGGCCCTTCATGCTTCTCTTCCCTTTTTTCTCAATCCGCCCAACCGTATTCTCCCCGGTTAATCCATTGAAATTTGTATAAAAGCAACAACATATCTATTTCTTACATGTTCCGATTTGTATCGAATGATCTTCTTAAATCCATTATTTAATTAACTAATCGGCTCAATAAACATTGATATAAATCAAGATCACCGACGTAACATCAATTTAAGAGTTATAGGGATTTTTTTTTACCTTAACGTTGTTGAAACCGGTTCCCGATTCGAGCGTCGTCTTGATCTCTTTTCTCTTCTATACTTCTCTTTCGCAGAATCTTACTTCCTCTTTGTTTCTCTCCTTTTTTTTTCCTTTAGTGTTTCTAATCTCGTGAGGATGAATGAGAGAATATATATATATATATATATATATATATATATATATATTCTCTTAATCCTTTGAATTTCATTATAGTGTAAAGACAATCAATCAATTTCCCTAAATATAACCATAATTGGCTTCCTTCCTAATTTATATACGGAAATTTGAATTTGAAAAAAAAAATAACATTTATAAAACTCTTTAGTTGCAGTAACGAATTATTTCCTTTGGAAGCACGAGCCTTTAGAAGTAAATATTTTAAATTACTTCACATATCTAATCCTTCATAAAAAAACTTCCATTACAAAATGCCCCAAATTTTAGAGTGTTACAACCATCACTACTATCGATACCACTACTGTCTCCACCCCACCACCACTATTATATTCAACGAACCAAACAAATAGATTCAAATTCTTTTGACAAAAGTCATTCCAATTAATGGAAACCAAACGTATCATCAAACATGATAAAATTTTATTTCAATTCATTTGACAAATTTCATTAAGTGAACCAAATGCACCTTAATCTCAGAATCCATGGAAAGCAACAAAATCCAATCCATTCATGTAACACCTTCAAATTTCGAAAGGGCGAGTAATTTAAAAATTCCATTAATACAACAAATAAAGGGTAGATCTCTTTTATATTACTCAATACATGAATTACCTCGAATATCAAATCTAAAATCAACAATAATAAATGATACACCGAGCCTTAGATAAGGACTAACTTAAGATCGGGTATTACTATAACCCAATAACAATAGCTATCTAGCTAGAACCTTTCTGTGCCTCTAACCAGCACTCACTTTGTCACGATGTCACTAGTACCAAACCCCAACAAGGACCTAATGCACATGCCGACAAATAAAAGCGTAGGCTTAACGCCTAGTGAGTTCAAACAGTTTTATCATAATCATGGAAAGGTAAAACTGAAACACTTTCGATTTAAATCATAGTTTTGCAAATGAAATATCTATACCGTAAAAGTAACATCTTTCCGAAACCCACCATTTTCTTGATGAAAACCAACTAATCAAATCACCCACTTATATGCAACCAAAAACCCATTACTCACACGATGACCAATAATAAAGCTATAAAACATTAAAACATGACAACATAGTTTTAATCAAGTTATTTATAAAAATAATTCACACTTACCACTGGAAGGGAATAAAACATCCGAAGATGAGGGGGGAGACCCAATTTACCATTTATTGTGATGGAACACATAAGTAAGTCACA